TGCTTTTTGATACCATCCTTACACAAAGCAGAAACTTTCCGATGACTCACAGTACAAGTGGAAAGATTACAGATTTTAATCGTCTTTAATTTTGTTACGTTATACGTTATAGGAACGTTTCATCTAAACAAAACCAAGTAATATCTGCACTTTGCACTATGTGTACCCTGTCTACAGTGTCTGGGTATGTCAGTCTCCTGTCTGTCCTGCCATTATCTGCACCGTGGACAAGGAGGAATGATATTTCGTTCCACTGTATACTTGTATATGGAATAGCAAATAAATTAAAAGGCTGGAATAACAAATAAATGTGAACTTGAACTTGAATAAACCTGAACTTGTAAGTGGCTGTATAGTCATAGGTGAACAAGGGGTACAGTCTAGGATGGAGACAGCAGCCTTGTGGAGCTCCAGTGTTTAGGGTCGCTGTAGAGGAGATATTGCTGCTAATTATCACCCCCTGAGGTCTGCCCGTCAGGAATTCCAGTATCCAGTTGCAGATAGAGTTACTTAAACCCAGATTCCTGAGTTCTGGGACCAGCTTGGTGAGACCAATTGTGTTGAAGGCCGAGCTGTTATCTATAAACACCATCCTAACATAGGTGCCCTGCCTGTCTAAATGTTCTACGGCAGGATGTATTACTAGAGATATGGCATCGTCAAATGACCTATTGTCAACTGAAGTGGGTCAAGAGAGTCTGGGACAGTGCACTTTATATAAGACAATACTAGTCTTTCCAGGCACTTCATGACCACCGCAGTGAGTACCACTGAGCAATAATCGTTCAAACCAGTTACCCTGGTCTTCTTGGGCAGCATTAAGCCAATTAACTAACCAGTGTGTCTTTGGCCTGTGGGAAGGAACAGGAGTCACTTGAGGAAACTCATTCAATCATGGGGAGAACATACAAACTCCAAACCCAGAGCCTCAGTGCTGTGAGGAAACTCATTACTAACCACTGTTCCACCTTGTCTCCTGGTTACAATACAACGAGTCTTAATTCAACAATGATTTAGTATATTTCATGGATAACATTATAAGCTGAATCATTTACTCATAGTCCATAATTCCAATATGTCACACATAATAATAATAATAATTGCTTACACTTATATAGCGCTTTTCTGGACACTCCACTCAAAGCTCTTTACAGGTAACGGGGACTCCCCTCCACCACCACCAGTGTGCAGCCCCACCTGGATGATGCACCAGTATGCTCACCACACACCAGCTATCAGTGGGGAGGAGAGCAGAGTAATGAAGCCAATTCATAGAGGGGGATTATTAGGAGGCCATGATTGATAAGGGCCAATGGGAAATTTGGCCAGGACGCCGGGGTAACACCCCTACTCTTTTGGTCCTGGGATTTTTAATGACCACAGAGAGTCACGACCTCAGTTTTACGTCTCATCCGAAGGACGGCGCCTGTTTACAGTATAGTGTCCCCGTCACTATACTGGGGCATTAGGACCCACACAGAACGCAGGGTGAGCGCCCCCTACTGGCCTCACTAACACCTCTTCCAGCAGCAACCTTATCTTTCCCAGGAGTCTCCCATCCAGGTACTGACCAGGCTCACACCTGCTGAGCTTCAGTGGGCTGCCAGTTGTGAGCTGCAGGGTGATATGGCTGCTGATATGCACATCATTTCACTTGGCTTCAAACTTCAGTACTGTTACAAAGATATTCCAAAGGTTTCTTTAATTTGTGAAAAATTATATATTTTTCACGTGCAGAAAAAATTATTTTGTTGTACTTGTACATGGTACATAAAACGTGCTAATGTTAATATTTTATTTGGATTTGCACCATTGCAGTTTTCACTTGGAAAACATTTCTTGCAGCCACTGGCCTTCTTCTGTTTTAGAATAACTCCTACCTATGTATTTTACTGGTATGGTCCCATCATACTTGGTTCTGACAGAGTACCCACTGATTGAGTCTGTTCTGTAAGTTAATCATATTTTAACTAGATAGATATTTTATTGATCCCATGAGGGAAATTGCAGGGATGAGGGAACTAAGGATGCAGCCATTCAGAGCGGGCGTCATCTCTTCCCAATAGCGTTACTTACAGTATATACCTAATGGCATATAGATACAGTAGATATAGTAGATGGTAGTGGAGCTAAATATAAAAAACAATTGCTCATTGCAGTGGTTCTCAAACTTTTTACCAGGTACCACCCCTAATCCAACCAAAGCATCCAAGTACCAGCTACAAGTCATCATCTCATAGGAACCCCAGAAATTCTCAATGACCAACATGAGTGTGCGTGCACACACACTCACACATACATATAATAAATATTATAATAATAAACTTAATTTGATATAGCGCCTTTAAAGGTGGCTTCTCAAAGTGTTTTACAGAAAAACCATTAACAACAACTAATAAAAAAGCACCATTTCAGTGAGAGGGGTGAGCCTGTTTAGTTGATTTTTGGAGCTGTGAATTAATTTTTTGAGCCCTGATACAATTCACAACAGAGTCTAACAGATATTAAATCGTCAGGCATTTTCTTGACGGCAAAGGTCTCGCGGTGGATGTTGTAATGCGTACATTAATTTCTGGAGCAACCTCTCTAATTCGTGCAACTACACCGTTATGTCGGCTTGTCATTGCTCTACCACCGTCTGTACAAACTCAGACGCATTTTATCCAGTCGATGCCGTTCTCTTCTATAAATTCATTCAGAAGCTGAAATATGTGCTCTCCTGTAGTTCCTGTTGGTAGCGGTTTACAGAACAGAAAGTCTTCATGGGACATGCCCTCAAACTCGTATCTAACGTAAACGAGCGAATTGGCCAAATCGACTACAGACTCATCTAATTGCAGTGAAAAACATCTGCTCATCTTAACGCGCTCTATCAGCGTACTTTTGATATAATCCTTCATTTCAATAATTCTATGAATGACTGTGTCTTTCTGGGGGAGGGGGGCAGCAGGTCGAGCTGTTCAGCAGCTTTTTCTCTACACATAATACGTGTCAGCTCTTTTGCCAACGGTAAATAAGGTTCTTCAAAAATAGTGTAGCTTACCTGCTTTAGCAATCCGCAAGCTTGCATTTTTCCGCGTTTCCGTTTTTATTTCCATATTTATTTAAAGTTTTTATTTCATGCGCATGAGAGCGAAACACAGAGACGCTCGGTGTATTTTTCTCAAATTAGAACAGTTCTTAAATATTTTTATCACGCTTTCGTGTGCTCACAAGATTACCTGCGTTCGTAGCACGCATTTCTATGCATTCCTGTGTTTACAACATTAGCATTGTTCCAAAATCACGCACATTCTCCTTTCTCCTTTGCTGGAGATACAGTAGCTTTTTTTAAATACAATCGGTCACTTGCATCCGTAGCACAATTACTCCGGACACAATTGAGACACTGGCAGTCCACTGTCGTCCCCTGCGCACAACCACCCAGACCAGCAGCAGAGCTGGATGAGAAACAGCTCCGTGGACACAATGGAGACACCCTGACTGCCCACTGTCGATTTAAACACAATGGAAACACTGACTGTCCTCTGTCATACTAAACACTGGACACAATGGAAACACTGACTGTCCTCTGTTAGATTAAACACTGTGAGACAGTAATTGTACTCTTTCAGTATGAATTTGTTATACACAATGGATACTTACGGTACACCACGAGGATATATTTTGCACTCTGTCCATTAGGAATCTCCACTGTATAAATGTCACCGTCGCTTGTTTTCAGGTCCTTGATCTGAAAGAATCCCGTCTGCTTGTCCCAGCTCACTCGCCCTGAATTATCAGAAAAGACTAACACCCCACCAGTCACCTTTGCAAGAGTGCTGACCCCTCTGATGAGATTTCCAGATCCTGATACACTGGTCTGGAAGAGGAAGTTCTGTCCCAGAGTGCCCTTCACATGCTGCTCAGGAGACTGGCTGGAACACAGGTGCATTCCTGTAAAACAGTGTTAATGCAGTCATCAGTCTCTGACTCACCCATAGCCCTAGTCATGTCAACAAAAACATCTGTATGATTGTCACATACTAGTCATAGACTTTTAACTTGGTTTATTCGATTAAATATGACTAAAATCATCCTTGCTTTTAGTCAACTAAAACTGGATTAGTTTTAGCCCATTTCAGTCATGCTGTTTTATTTAATCATAAAAATGTATAATGGGATTAGTTTATTTTTAGTCCTTGGAATATTAAGGAAATAACATTCAGTCATTAATGTTAAGTAAGGACTAAATGCACAACGTAAATATAAAACCATGAACTATTTTGTTATTGTTACTAATGCTGATTAAAATCATTAAACAAATGTTAAAAATGTAATATGAAGGATTTATTTCACTCTTCAGTGGTTTGAACTGTGCAACAGACATACAGTAGATAGTTTGTATTGCGTTGCAGCAGAGATACTGTAATTGCAGTTTGAATAGTGGACTGTTTTCTTAATTATTCCACAGATCTGGTCTCTCTGCTGTCCTCAGAAACAAAAATCAATGTATAGACGTAGCCGTTTTCACTGACTCCCGTTGACTAATGGGAAATAGATCCATGAATCCTGGCTCTCCCCAGGACTCAAAACAGCACAAGTCTGGTGTCAAACAACAGGGAAGGCCCTGCAACTGCTGTCCAGGTCGGTCCTGGGAGCCCCACAGCACATCATCATCCACACTGACCAGCGACCTGAGGACCCAGAGAGAGCAGGTGGCCCAGTCCATCAGGAGAGTGGCAGAGAGGGCCATACAGGAGTTCCCTCGCGCCGGAATCGCCACCTCCACCCTGCTGCCGAGGCAGGACGAGTGGTACCATACCACCCAGAAAATCAACACTGAGGTCTCACGGTTCTGCACCCTGCGCCCCCAAATGTCTACCTGACCCACCACCCCACCCTGGGACTCCAGCACCTACACAACCAAAAACACCTCAAAAAGTGAAAAGAAGACCATCAAAAACTATAAAAGACATCACACTATGTAGACATCCTACCAACACCCCAGAGAGAAACAGGACACTCAGCACCCATAGAACATACCACAGCCCACAGCCAAACAGAGGAACACCCCTCAGAAACCTGCACCCCCCTCCTGGACCCCCAGCGCCCACACCCCCAACCCTGACTAGCTCTACCCACATTACATAACCAGGACCAGAGACAGAAATAGAGATCGAGATCACTTTATTGGCCATATACAATTTCTTGCATTAGGAATTTGTCTTTTCTCATACCCCAGCTTGCTCTCCATGAGACTCACAGACTGGGAGGGAGAAGCTGGGGGTCAGAGCACAGGGTCAGACATTTATACGGCACCCCTGGAGCAGCTGGGGTTAAGGGCCTTACTCAGGGGCCCAACGCAGTAGGATTCCTCTGCTGGCTGCGGAATTTGAACCGGCAACCTTCCAGCCACAGGCGCAGATCCTTAGCCACAGAGCCACCACTACGCCACCACTGTACACCCCCTCATCCAGGCCAGCACCATCAATCCTGATGAAGTACAAGCTCAGTGACCACAGCCTGGCCATAGAAACTGGGCGACACAGGCAGACCTGGCTGGCCAGAGAGGACAAGCTGTGCTCCCACTGCCAGCGGGGAGAAACAGAGATGGAGGTGTACTTCCTACTGCACTGTGACTAATAATTTGGGATTAGACAAATTCTTCCTTAAAATAAATCTAATAGATTTGCAGCCCAGTATGTGACCTACTGCCCCAGCCTGAGGAACAGTGAGCCTCTCAATAATGCTTTATATAATGTATGTACATGTCCAATGATATGTACTGTAAATGTGTGTAAATGTAGCAGTGATGGTATGTGCTTTGATAACACTGTAATTAATCGCTCATGCCAATAAAGCTTTTTGAATTTGAGAGAGAAGATAACAGAGAATCCTTCAGTAATGGGGTGGAGAGAGAGTGAGAGAGTAAATAAAACAATGCTTCTGAAATAACACTCATATTGCACATTCACTTTTTCTATAGAATCTAAAAAATCATATGTTGTACGAGGTAGCACAGTGAATGTGAACAGGAGCCAACTTTTTACATAAAGGGTGGTGGGAGTGTGGAACAAGCTTAGCAGCCATGTGGCTGAAGATGATACCCTGACTTCTTTCAAGAAACAGCAGGTTGATCTTCAGATCAATTCCTAACGACCAAAGGGGCTGGATGACCTCTCTTTTGTAACTGTTCTATTTTCTTTCTGCATAAATTATAAACAATTCCCAAGTACCGGGTGTAGCCCGTGTTTAATATTATTATTAATAGTATTTTTTAATACTCTCATGTAGTTCAGGAAATTTTTAAAATGTAATCAAGACAGCACAATGTTTTCGGCGTCGTTCTCAATTATCCTGCTGAAAGCCCAACTTTACTTTCACTTTCTGTTTGCACAGTCTCTCGACATCTTCAATCTATTTTTTCCCTGTTAACTATATTCTGTTCTTCTGTGTCCTACATTTCGTACTAATATCGGCAGCATCAACAGTAAATACTCCACCGAGAGTACACAGATCGGACCCAATCAGAAGAAAACGCGAGGAGTTTGTTTACGGTTTGTTTCTCAGCCACACCTTCAAGATATCGTAGGAGTCCGAGTCGCGCACTGGAAATCGCAGAGGGTGACTTTACTGAAACCGTGTTTAATTAATACAGCAGGTCGGGCTCAGTCTTACCGAGGAGGAAGAGGAGAATCACACAGGCGCATGGCATCGTGCTGAACATCACTGAGTCCAAACTCTCTCACCGGGCCTCTACACACTTGGTGCCGCTACACACACAGGACAGCTCTGGGCGGAACCACTGAAAATGACGGAGCTTCCTTTTAGAAAAAAAACTCCGCTAGTACATCAGTATTAATGTTTCCGTTTCTCGCTTTGAATCTCGACCATACTTTCTCTGAGAAAGGCCGTTAGGTCAATGTCGTAAAACTAAGTTATTGAAAAACGTCAGCAGTGTGTTTATGAAACTATGTGCGCAATGTTTAACATATAAAGCTGTTAAAAACACTTTAACAGGTTTTTACTATTTAATGTTGTTTCCGATATAAAAAACAAAAAAAACTGAACAAAGAACATGTAAATACGATTTTATTCAACCTTGTGCTCTATCCTGATAGATGGGCTAGGAAAGGCTCTGAAAGTCAATTATAACGTTACTACGGTGATAGTCTGTCCATTGGAAAGACTGTAATAACACGAGTCTGCCGCTAGAGGCACTGCATTATTGAGTAGAGGGTTGTAATATACTGTGGGTTCTAACAGGGTTTTAATTGGTGCGTTGTATTTAAGATGAAGGGCATCAAGAACCATAACCTGAAGTAAGCAGTCAAGGTGTTTTTTTTCATGCTGGTGTAATTGTTGTTAAAACTAGTGGTAGACTCCTCAGTTTGAGAAGTCTTTTACTGTTTATGTTTAAACATTTTTGTTTTAAAAAAAATAAGAAATCCTCATTTGACTTTAAAAACATGCAGCTCCTGAGTGTTTTTTTGTGTGAAGATTCTTTGACCCACACTATGTATATGTGGTAAAAGGTACAGGTACTGTAATACAGAATGTCTGGTAAGGCCATTAAGAAGGCCTCAGAACAGGACCCAGTACTCTCCCAGCTCCCCACCCTTATACGCTCAGACTGGCCCTCCAAGGTCCCTGCCGAACTGGGCCCCTTCCTT